CTTGTGGTTTAATGCAATTTGAACGAATTTTAGCACGAAATCATTCATTGTTGGGCGCTTCGATTAATGAAGCTTTTATGATTAGGCGCATACACGATTTTGAATCGTAATCTACAGACCTTCATTGAAATCCATGGAATCGGCATAAAAGCTTTATACTTTAGTATGCCGAAACGATTACACTACTGTGATTAGGAGCTTAATGTGCGGAGTGCCTAACATTTAAATTGAATCTTTTTTATTATTACCTTAAAATTTTGATAAATAATAGCCTTACAAAATTGTAACACAACTTAACATGACATAAGATAACATTAACAGCCTATCCGAGCTAAAGCAGTTTTCTAAGTTCATCAGAAGATGTATACTTTTGAAAGTTTATAAATAAGTATGATAGCGACTTTTGGAAGAAGAGTTAACATTTGCTCCTATTTTTTTTAGAATATAAAAAGATTTTGCACTGTGTTGTTAGTGGACAGGAAACTACTTTAAATACTGGTACGAAATCCACCAACAACTAAAAATCTAAAAAATTTTACATAGCAAACTTTGCAAGTGGACTACTCAATTATAATTTTATACCCAAAGGTATACCGATTCTTTGCAGATAGGGGCATCACTTCCTGTGACAGTGACTTCTATCGAACGCTCCTTTTTAAGCTTAAATCATATTTACGAAGTAAAACTGGACCACAAAGATTAAAAGGTTCAGGTTCCCTTAACATCCACAGAGATAGAGAAGTTCTAAATTTTTCATACATACATACATATGTAATCACTCGATTTTATTAAAAAAATTAAAATATAGACATACTGGACCACCGATGACTATGATTACACTGGAACTAATAAAAGCTTTTTTGTTTTATTAAAGTTGTTGAGTTTTTTCCCCTAATTAAATTATCAAAAAAAGAAATTAAAAAAATAAAAACAAAATTATTAAAAAGTAAATTAAAAATTGGGGTGTTTTATTACTGTAACCTCCTCGTAGTAGACCCTGGATACTGCAAGTGTGGCAATTTTCAGGCTAATAACAGGTTACATTTTGAAATAGTTCTTAAAATTCATATATCTATTTTATAAATTAAATAATAGCCCATTTCCACCAAGCCTTAACTGCAGTTTATGCCGTTTGAAAAACGGAGATTACAACTTGAAGGGGGTGATTCCACCTATTAACTAGAAGCAAAGGAAGGGAAAAAAGCTAAGTTAAAAAAAAAAACAGTTTAAATTCGAGAACAGTAGAAATTTAGGTTTTTTACCTTTCCGAAAACTACCGCTACATGGCAAGCAGGGTTGGTTTTCCAATATTTCAAATATCTTCGATTAACTTATATAGTTACAATAATGTGTGCCCAATTTCCTAAATTCCATATTAATATTACGACTTTTCAAGGGATTGTTGTTTGTATCAATTTTGAATAAATTAGCGTCCTTAAATTTCGAATATTGAAGTTTCAAGCGTTTCTGAAATTTACCGTTGTATAAAAAGTGGGCTTAATTTTAGACCGATTTCAATTATTTTCAACACTTTGCTTTTATGTGGCAAGCACAATAATTAAACCGAGTTTGGTACAACGAACGAACGGTTACCGAGATACACACATGTGGTAATAAGTGGGCGGTGGCACGCCCATTTTCCAAAATTTTATCATAAACGTATTTTTTCTAAAGAAATATTGCAAACATCAATTTTGTATAAATTACCTTCAGTATTTACTGATTTAACCGTTATATGGGATGTGGGCGTGGTTATTGTCCGGTTTTAAAATATTTCCAGCTGTTTAGTATGTTGTACCAAGGCCCAACAACTGCGCTAGCTTTGGGAAAAATCTATGGAGCGGTTACCAAGCCATACACATGTAATCACAAGTGGGCGGGGCTACGCCTACTTATCATTGTACGTGTCAAGAGTGAATAAGCTTCAGTAGTTAATAAAATATCGCAGTTTTCGTATTTCTGAAAATTACC